TACCCTTAAGTTTTGGGTGTTGAGCTCTCTTATCCGGTCTTTATCCGATTTTTTACCTCAAATCTAAGCCCAAAGATTGGATTGGATTGTTTACTATCCGGTCCCGGTCCGGTTTCGGTCCGGGTTATACGGTCCGGTTTCCGGTTTTTAATCCGGTCCCGGTCCAAATAGCCACCCCTAGTCGTGATGGGGATTTGCTATGACGAGCCGCCGTTCCAGCTCCGTAATTTTGCCCAACAACTCCTGATTACCAGCTGGATTTGCGTCTCCGGGAACTTCCCCTTCTCAGACTCTATTTTTCGAGCGAGCAATTGTGTCAAACCGTTGGTCAATTTCTTGCTTAAATTGACTCAATTGCTCTTGGATTTGAGTCTGAAACCTCCTCTCCATCCGATCTAGCAAGTCATCCATGTCAAAGGTCAATCCCGCCATGGGTTGATCTTCAATTTGATCTTTGGTTTTCTGACTTAGGATTGCAGGGTCCCTGGACTCAGGACTTTTTGATCTTGTCCAACACGTCAATCCAACAACGAATTCCTTTGTCTTGGCCACTGTGTGTGAACCAAGGCTCTGATGCCACCTGATAAACCCCTAGGTGGGATTTTGGATCAGAATTGCGCAACGATTGGATTCAAATCCTATTTCTCCCGACAAACAGAGTAGGTTGGATAGGTTTGCGGATTAACTCTTTCGTGCAAGTACTCACAAGGGCAAAGCCTCGAGAAGAATCAGATAGAGGCTAGCCACGACCAAGAGGGTTTAGCTTGATAGATACAATGTCGAGTGCCCTAGAACTCGTTCTAAGCAACTCTCAATCACGAAGCAAAGCTTTGTGAATCAAACTTGGCATTTGTATTCAATTAAACTCAAAAAATAATGATTACAATGAAACAATAAGCTTAAATAGGTCTAGCTAGGTTAACCCTCGTCTAAACAAGTCCTAGTTCCAATCCAAAACGAGAAAGAATCCAAAATCAACATTGAAAAGGATATTAAACAAAACAGCGAGCTAATCCTAATCCGATAAGGATTCGGATTTTGTCATTTCCAAAGGCTGCAAACATGTCTTCGAGCGATCTTTGGAGCTTACTTTCGAAGCCTTCGAGGAACCAAACCAATTACCCAATTCCTTACCTTTGTAGAATGAAAGTTATAGTTTGATGTGGAGCAAACCTTTGGAGTCGAATCCCAGCCATCTCTCTTGAAAAGAGCTCCAAAAGTTAGCTTCCTGAACTCGAATTATGCCTTAGCCAAATTCTGACAGTTTTCCGGTTTTAAGTGAGCAACTTGATCGACCTGAAAAACAATCTTCTAAACTTCCTCTCGAACTCCAAAGCATATCATGCGAAAGTCTACCAATAATCAAACTTTCGATGAGAGAGCCTGTTTCGCCACAAGATGGGCAGCTTTATTGTAGTTCCTAGGAGCAAAAGCGCAAGAACAAAAGTTAAAGTGTTGAGGTAGCCGTTGTACGTCCTCCAGTAAAGCTCCACCTATAGCATGGGATGTGTCCCTCGTCAAGACTCGCCGTATCACCAATTGAGAATCCCCAAAGAATTGGACAAGCAAAAACCCTTGGGTTAGACACCATTCATCGCGTTACCAAGTGATAATAGCTCCATAAGAAATGGATCTTGAATGCCTGTCATATAACTTACCGAATGCAAATAAGATGGCACTATTTTGATTGAAACCAAAGAATTCCGTGCCACCACCGGCTCCAAGCTTGATTGATCCATCAAAATGTACTAGAATAGTTTGTGAGGAAGGTTGAGTAGCTCCATCTAAACTGCTAAAAAGAGTCAGAGAGAGTGGAGTCTGGTCACCACCACGGGTCTCCCCAACATTAGATGAGGATCCAGCAGCTTGCTGGTTAGATTTGATAGTTGCATTCCGCCACTTGCTGGTTGTACTGCCGACATAGAGCAGGAGCCAAGTACTGGATACCGTCGTGGACGGCCCAACATCTTCCCTTCCAAATCCTCCAACACAAGACTATGACGTCCGAAATCTGCAGTTTAGACAAGTGCATAGAGAAAAAGAGAGAATTCCACGCGTCATCTGGGTGCAGTAGCTCTAGCTGTCGGCGGATCTCCTCTAAACCTGCAAGCTGCCGAAGTGGTTTGGATACACGACAGTGAAAAATAATGGGAAAAGAATTCCAACCCTTCTGAACAAACAGGACAAGTTGCACTAGGCACTAGTCGTGAAAAATTAAACCAATTAAACCATGGTGGTTCATGTAGTTTTATGGTGAACCGTTAAAAATCGTTTGGTCCATCGATATCCGTTTAAGCAATGAATCGGATCGCTATCGAAACTGGTTTATGGTTCTACTGGCTCGTCCATTGATCCGGTTCGGTTCTTATAACAACGAAAAACAGTGATGATAGAAAGGGTAATTGAATTTAACTATTTGAAAGATCAAGTCTTGCACTTATTTAAAGTTTCATAGGGTGAAAATATCACTGGAAAAAAAATCAAAACTGAAGAAATACGAATAAATATCACAAATCAAAATATGGTGGGTTAAGAATGAGACGCTACGAGACGGAGCAGGTCGAAAGTAGTGTCATGTGTCTTGCCCCATAATATTACGGGTCAAATGATACCCGCCCAACATAGGTAGTATCGGATGATACCCAATGAAGCGAATTCAAATTTTCTAGCAGCTGGCCTTGGCCTGAAAATCTGAATTCGCCACAAAGTGTGCATGCCATGCCATGCATTCAGCCGATTGCAGTGCAATAATTCAATGTGACAATCTGCAAAGCTATCATCATCATCATCATCTGAAAGGGATTCCTTATATTATATGGACCAGTAACCCGTGCCCATGCGTGGAAACAGCCAATAAATAGAATCATAAGTTACGATGCCGCATATAACTAGCTAGCACTTGGGTTGGGTTACACAACCAAAACCAAGGCAGGAAGGACTCGGTTTACGGTTTGCCGCCACTAAAAAAACAACAAAGCCGTATTTGGCTGTGTAATTAATTCTTCAACAAATTAATCGCCTAAGTCTTCCAGGTTAAGATATATAAAAGATCCATCTCTCTCTCTCTATATCATTTCTTTGATATTTATCCCAAACAAACTAATAATAATTTTGATTAATCAATTCATTAAGCCCAATCGAAAAAGATAAACATATATAGCTAGCTACCCCAGCCTAGTCTCAAGGTGATTAAATCCAGAGAAAATTCCAAATGATGAGATAGAGATACCGTTTATGATGCCGAAAGCTAGCCAAGACAAACCTAATACCTGCTACAAGTGTCCATATTAATTAAATTAATACTCGTGATTAAAACTCGATAGGAGGTTGAAGCTTCCGCAACAAGCAATTCTAAATCACATCTTTCAACCCAGTCAAACAAAGGAATTGCGAGAAAAATATATTAAAATAAAGATCGCGCTGGGCTTGTTTATCATTTGGATATTACATATAGCGCCATGCAAATTATCTAAATAATTGCTGCAATTAATTATATATAAGTACACCAAACCACGCGTAAGCACGGACAGAGAATTATCAACAACTACAGCCTAAAACACAATTATAAATAATGTGAATGTTAATTCATGGTTGATATATATCTATACACGACTGATGAGTTCTAATCAAATACCAAACATGACAGAGACAGAATTGAAAGGGAACTTAATTATTGTTATTATTGCTGATATATAAAACTTAATTACTGTTGGCCCGCATGCAAGTTTTGATTTCAATCTAATGAACCAACAGCCCTTTGGCGCTTATCGATAATGTAAAAGTCATGATCATACCAAGAAATCTACATACTGCGAACCTTTTGATTTCCACATGGAAGAATAATAATAATGCACGTTATGTACAAATCTATCCGGATTAGCCGACTTCTAACTAAACAAAGATAATATCACTGAAGATGGCTGTGTCATCTTAGAGGCAAGTGCTTGTCAATTTCAATGAACGTTTACTGCCATGCCTGGCTCCTGCCCTCCACTAAATAATACACCGTGAGAAGAAAAACGAGCCTAGATTTCTGTGAAGGGTTAGCCCCACTGGTTTTCGATTAACATCCATATTAAGGCCGAGAAAATAGACCAGACTGTTTGAAAAATCATGGACCTAACCGGGTCGTAGACAAGTAAAAATGGTCTGGTCTGGTCTATGGTATGTATTATATGATGTTTTGATCTCTTGGTCTAGTCTAGACCGCGATTTACCGCACCAAACTGTGGACCCACACGACTTCCCAATACGCGTTGGCACCCCACTCAACCACTCTCCCCATTCTCACAACGTGACTCAAGCTCAACCCTACTTTTGAGAAACTCGTCCTCTTTTTCATTCACAAACACATTTCACCAAAGAGTATCGACAATTGTGTCTCCATATGACATTATGTTAATGTTTATGACGTTATGGAGTAAGTTGGGATGTTTAGACTTTATATTTTTGACTTTTGTTGTTTACTGAGCTTTAGGGTGTCAAAATTCTTCAGGCATGTTGCAGTTTATGTTTTAAGGCAAAAAAATAATTTTTCATTGTAATTGATTCAATTTTTCGTGTGGTTGACTTAACAAATTGTTCATTTTCTCACCAAAAAAAAATTGTTCATTTTTCGTTCATTGTGGTCTATCTGGACCAGATCGTACCGGACCAGACCACACAAGCATGGTCTGGACCACACCGTATATTATGTGGTTTGGTCTCTAGTCTATACTCCAGCCTCTCAGTCTGGACCATAGACCGTATATATGGTATGGTCTAGACCAGACCGGACCGTTTCTCAACCCTATGCATATATGTAGGCTATACAGAGGTGTGGGCTACCTTGAATTGTTATAAATTGGGGTGCTAAAACTTTATCGACTATTCTAAATCATAAGTTTGTGCAAATTTTACATGTAATTTTAGCTATATTTTAATATTGAGTGGGTTACAGCCTCTCCCAACTTCAACCTAACTCTACCATTGCAAATGGGTCTATACACGTGTCCCATTGGTTAACTATCAAAGTTTCATTACAACGAAGCTCTGTCGGTTTATTAGAACGACAAGGTTTCCACTCAATCCTTGTTTCTAGATAAAAGACGAACAGCGTTGTTCCACTTGATTTGTTTCTAATCCACTTCGAAGACTTCTTCTTGATCTTCTGCAATTCTTCATTTCAGTAGTAATCATTTGGACATAGAGGATCATTGTTGATTGTGTTTGTTGTTGTAGCTTAGGACTATATTAGTTCTCCAATATAATACGCTCCCACAAGTTGGTGAGTATCTACCAGGTTCTCCCAACTTGGACACAAAAAGTTTGAACCTACCAATTCATAATCTCTTTGTAAACATGTTTCAAGTTGATGATTAGTTGATAAATGATCAAGACTAATCAACCCATTATGCAATCTTTCTCGAATAACTTGATAGTCTACGTCGTGTTCCCTTATATCATGAAACACATGATTTCGTGCTATATAAATTGCACACTGGTTATCACAAACCACCTTAACTGAATGAGAATGATCAATCCCAAAATATCCCAACAATATGACTAAGCAGTGAACTTCACAACTCATATGGGCCAAGGCTCTGTACTCTACATATGAAGAAGATCTGGATACTGAGCCATACTTCTTGCTCTTCCATTTGATTAACCTTTTCTAAGAAATGCGCAAAACTCCATGACTGTTCATCTTGAGCCTGGGCAATGTGGCTCAATCAGAGTTGTTGTATCCAGTGAGTTAAATAGGAGAATCATGGGGTAGAAAAATCCTTCTCATATGAGGTTTTTTTAAAGGCCTAAAAGCTTTTATCTATGGTGGCAAATTGCCATTACAGTCCTTCATAAGGGTCTGAAGAATGTAAACGAGGGGCATATCTACCCACATCTTTGTTTCTTCCCACTTGCATTTTGCCCTGGCCATTTCGTCCGCAGCTCCATTCCCTCCTCTTCCCCAAAATCGCCATCGAATCTCACCTCTTTCCAACCTCAGCTCCCGAATCTCGTTAACTACCACCCCCACCTTTGTTTCAATCTCTTCCCCCCTGTCCAATTTCTGAATTAACGAGTGGAAATCCGTTTCCAAGAGGGTAGGCCTCCTAGCATGCACACTGATTAACCGGACAGCCCATAGTAACGCCTGAGCTTCTGTAAGCTCTGGCTCCCAGCTCACTCTAGTTCTCTTCACCACCGCCAAGACAAACCTCCCTTCCTCGTCTCTTGCCACCAATCCCAATCTAGTCCCTACCTCTTTCACTTTGGCAGCATCGACATTCACTTTCAGCACACCTCTTTCTGGTTTCTCCCACCTCACCACCTGACGGGAACCTCTCTCTTGGATTTCGCTCTGCATACAGTTCCAATACTCTTGCTGGTAAATCTGCAATCTGGCAATTACTTCACTTTCTTCTAGTTTAGGATTATTGAACAAGTGATTGTTGTGTTTATTGAACAAGTGAGTGTTGCGTTCTTTCCCTTATGAGTTTTAAGACTCTATAGAGTCATGTTATTCGTTGTGGTTAGAGAATCCTGAAACTGACATAACTTTTGGACAACAAAGGCAATGTCAAGCCCTGTACTATTCAAATATTATAGTTTTCCAAGAAGGTGTTTGAAGTTAGCTATATCCATATATGGTTTTCCATCAATGGCTGAAAGTACTTGTTTGACATTGGATGGGGTTTTTGCTGGAGTTCATTCATCAAATCCAACTTCTTTATGATGGTCCTTCTTGACAGTCTATTTAAGGATTCTGCTATGGTCCCAAGAATAATCATTTTGTTTACCTGATGGTCGTAATCAGTAAGAAGTTGCATCACAGATTACCAAGTTTTGCTAATTGTTGACCGACCATTAAGCTTATAACTGATTATCAATTCAACCAACAAGTGCTAGTTTTTCGTTTCGATTATCGACTTAACCGGTTGATCGATTAATAGCCTTAGTGATGAGAACTTATTTACGAAAATAAGCTATCCCTGCATACATATCAAACTCTCGTGTAAGGCTTGGCGCTTTAATTGGGTCTTTGTGGGGGGGGGGGGGGTGGGGAACCATCTAATTAGTTCTAAAGTTCCCCCCGGCTAACACTGACAAGTAATTAATCTGCTTACATTTTCTTTCCATACATGCAAGAAAGCCTTGATATTATGTTATCATCGTGGATCAAATCGGCTTAGGATAGGGTGAGTAACCGTCGGTAATCACTTAGCAGCCGTTGATCTGGGGCAGACTCATCGTGTGGCTACGATTGATGCGGGGATGGTTAGGGGCATTTTTATCCATTATTTGAATTAATTACTTTCCCTCTTTTATCCGTTGCGAATCTTTTGTGCGAGCTGGGATTGTGTTTTTTGGAGAGAGAAAGTGCGAGCAGCAGCTTAGAAACAGGGGACCGAGCTATGGAGAATTTTTCTCTCCATAATTTTTCGACGACGAGAACTTAGGTGGATTACCTAATCGATGGCTCCGGTTAGATATTAGTTTTTCCGATTCTTCCTGTTCTGACGTTAACTTTTAACCTGGTGTGATTCGTTAAGCCTTCTGTCGATCTTTGGTTTCGTTGAGCGTTCTGTCGATCTTTGGTTTCATTGTAGGTTTTCGTTGCGATAATTGCTAGTTACATAGAGATTTTGTGTTTATTTGTAGGTTTTCTAGATTCGTTTCTGTGTGAGTTTCTTCGTGTTTCTGTTTAACTAATCGAGCTTGTTCATGATTTTTACTGTTTAGTTTATGTTTATGTTCTTTGTGTTTTGATGTTTTTGCAGGATTCTGGTAAAATGAGTTACGTAAATTGTGGCGAGGTTGTTCCATTCGATAGATCTGTTTCTTTATCTAGCGGTGTAGGACACGAGCTTGTTCATGATTTTTACTGTTTGGTTTATTTTCATGTTCCTTGTGTTTTGGTATTTTTGTAGGATTCTGGTGAAATGAGTTACGTAAATTGTGGCGAGGTTGTTCCATTCGACAGATCTGTTTCTTTATCTAGCGTTGTAGGATCTGGTTCTTCATCTAGCGTTATTGGAACTTGTTCTTCATCTAGCGATGTTGGATTTGGTAATTCACCTAACTTTGATGTATCAGGAGGTAATATATACAAATTTGTTTATTAATTGAAGTTTGAATGTGTTAGATACCATATGGTACCATGGTGGTAATTACTGGTATATGCTGAGAGGTGATACCATAGTGTTGTGTTGTGATACTATTGTGTTGTGTAATTAATTTTTACCATATTATACCATGGTGGTAATTACTTGTACCATGGTTGTAGTCATTTGATAAAGCGCCAGGGGGTGCTTTGTTTGATCAGAATACGCAGCTCGGAACTCTTCTACGAAAGATAAAACGGATAGGTAGAATTTCGCCACAATCAAGATGATTACTTGATTGATAATAAACTTGTAAAACGAATCTGGAATCCTCACAGAAAAGCCTCACAAGGGTTCTCAAATTAGCAATGGAATTCCTCACACGACTAACTCAAGGGTTTGATTCTTGAGAACTCTCAAAGAACACAATTCTCACAAAGCAGCAATTTTCATTCAACTAAAACTTGGATCCTTTACAACGTGAAATTGAAAGCTATTTAAAGACAATAAAAAACTAATACAAACCTAATAGAACTAGGAAACAATTATGGTAAAAACAAACTCTAAAAAGGACTCAAAACTCGACCATAAACTCTCTTTCTTCAAGCACAAGCAAGCTGCCTTTTAGCACAAGCAAACTGTCCAAAAACAGTTTTCGTACTAACTTCGTGCCATTCGTTCGAGGCCTTCCCGAACTCCAATCTTTCATCCAATTCCTTTCCTTTGTTCACAAACATACCTAGTTTCATGTTGTGGAAGCCTTTGGACTTGAATCAGATCCATGCTCCTTGAATTGAGCTCCAAAGTAGGCTTCACAAAACAGTTTTCTGCCTTGACCATTTTCTGGCAGTTTTCCAGTTTTGAGGTAGCAACTTTGAGACCTTGGAAAACAACCTTAATGACATCTTCTGGATCCACAAAGCATACCATTGGAAACATGGAAACTTTATCTGCAAAACAAATCCTTGACCTCCAATATTCATTGATCCATTTGTGAGATACAAGCTTCCAAAGTAGGCTACCTGAAACTGTTTCAACACTTAGCCAAAAATCAGAATGCTTCAAATTAATTGAGATGACTTCTTTGGCAAGTAATTGTGATTTGTGGATTGATCCAATTGGGATCATATCATCATTGGTATATGCTGAGATGTGATTCTGTTGTGACGTGGAATTTATTTTATCATATCATACCATGGTTGTAATTATTGGTATATGTTGAGATGTGATACTGTTGTGGTGTGGAATTAATTTTACCATATCTTACCATTGTGGTAATTACTGGTATATGCTGAGATGTGACTGTTATGGTGTGGAATTCATTTTACCATATTATACCATGGTGGTAATTACTGGTATTTTGTCATAATAGTATAGTTATATTTTTTCAGAAATAGTTTGTTGTTATAATTGGTGTAAAACAGTATACCATGTTCGTTTTGTGAATGGAATACACTTTACCTTATTATACCATGGTGGTATTATATTTGTACATATTTAATATGTTGCTTTATAATGTTTGTAGGTTTCAATGGTATATATCCTACTGGTTGTGATTCTTGGAAGTACTTACTGTTCAATACACAAGATGATGCATATAATTTCTATGTGGATTATGGGAATCATGAAGCTTTTTGTGTGAGGATTTATAAGCAATCAGCATGGCTGAAGCTCAATGGTGTTTCTTCAGTTGCTTATTATATCAAGTATTATTGCAATAAGGAAGGTTGGAGAAAAGGTAGCGTGAATAACCCTGATAATGTAGGTCTTGTTGATAAGAAGGATCGTGTTCGTAATGTTCCAGAACTCAGGAGTGGATGTAATGGTGCTTATATACAACTGAGGTGGTTTAAAGAGTTGAAATACTATGAGATCTATCGTTGGCATAATGTGCACAACCATGACATGATTCCTGAGTCTCTGCGTCGCTATTTGAGATCTAGCAGACAAATGGCTCTTGTATACAAGATGTTGGCAGAGATGAATGATGTTACTGGTATTGGTGTGACTTCTTCGTATAATGCAATTAGTAGGACTGGTGGTGGTCGGAAGTTTGTTGGATTCACAAAGAATGATTTGAAGAACCATCTGTGAACTGTGAGGACGTTATCAATGGAGTATGGTGATGCGACTGCATTGCTTGCATACTTTAGACGTCAAGCACACCTGGATCCTGGGTTCTTTCATGAGGTGGAGGTTGATGTTGAAGAGAACATTCCTAGTATTTTTTTGGGCAGATGGGAAGATGCAGATGGATTATCATTATTTTGGTGATTCAATTAGTTTTGATACTACTTATCGGACTAATAAAGAGTATCGACCACTAGGTATGTTTTATAGTTTGTTGTTTATTATTGTCTTTGTGATTTTCTATGATTATTTTTATCATTCTGTATCATGGTTATATGAGGTGGTGTTTGCGTTGTTAGAAGTCTGTACCATATGGTATGGGTTGGTATGGATTGGTGTTTTGTTCTTAGAAGTCTTTACCATATGGTACGAGGTGGTACTATTGTTATTTGTACCTTCTACCACGTGGTACGTGTTGGTAGAATTGTTTTTACTCTCATTTTTTTTATGTTTTCGTAGCTTTGTTTGTTGGTTTCAACCATCATCACCAACTCACTGTCTTTGCGACTGCTCTTCTATATGATGAAACAACAGCAACATTTGAATGGCTTTTCGATCAGTTTTTGAAATGCATGGGAGGTGTGAGGCCCTCACCAATGTTTACTGATCAGGCTGCTGCAATTACAGCTGGTATAAGATCTGTTTTCCCATATTGTTTTCATGGGCTGTGTACATGGCATATTGCTCATAATGTAGTTGTTATCTGGGAAGTTTGTGCGACTCTAATTTCCTTCGTGAGCTTAGTTATTTGATGTATAATGCTAATAATGAGGATGATTTTGAGTATAATTGGAAGAAGATGATTGAGAAGTGTTTTCCTGGGAAGAGACATTTGGGACACAGTTGGTTACAGGGCATTTACAAAGTCAGGAAGAAGTGGTCTTCAGCCTGGGTGAATTGTTATTTTGGTGTCGGAATGAATAGTATCCAGCTAAGTGAGTGCTGCAATAGTAATATTCGACATTACTTGCAGTCAGAGTTTAGTGTTACTAGATTCTTTGTCCACTTTGAGAGGATGCTTGATAATAAGAGGGATGCTGAAGAACAAAAAGAGTACTATGCGTTATCTAGGTTGGCTAATTCTCGATTTTCTACTAGTCCTATTGTGAAGCAAGTTGCTAATGTGTATATGTCGATGATATTCAAGTTTTTCTTGGATCAGTACAAGGAATCTCTTGCGTATAATTTTTTTTTTCAAATACGGAGATAAAACCCAAAGGACATATAGGAATGTTTGATG